GATTATACAATGTTATGGTCCTGAAGTTGAGTCCCCGACATGTCACTCCCAGGTCTTTGACGTTGGTGTTTCGTTCTATTTTGTGGCCAGAATTTGTTTGTACTCTGAGGGAAGATTTAATTTCCTCATGTTTACCATATGGGAGTAATTGAAATTTCTCATCGTTGAACTTCATATTGTTTTCTGCAGCCACTGAAGATTTGGTTGATGTCCGCCTGGAGCCTTGCAGTGTCTGCAATGGAAGCACTGTCATGCAGATTCGGGTGTCATCTGCAAAGGAAGACACGGTGCTGTGGCTGACATCCTTGTCTATGTCAGTATGGGGATGAGGAAACAAGATGGGAGCGAGTACTGTGCCTTGGGGAAACCCGAGCTTTTCCACCGTAGTGCTTCGGACTTTACTCTGTTGACGAACTACTCTCTGTGTTCTGTTAGTGAGGAAATTAAAAGATCCATCGACCGACTTTTCCTGTTTTTTCCTTTAGCACGCATTTTGTGCGCTATTACGCCTTTGGTCACATTGTCGAAGGCTTTGCGAAGTCTGTATATATTACATCTGCATTCTTTTTGTCTTCTAGTGCATTTAGGACCTTGTCGTAGTGATCCAATAGTTGAGACAGACAGGAGCGACCTGTTCTAAACCCATGTTGCCTGGGATGTGTAATGAGGGGTTTTCTAGATGGGTGGTGATCTTGCTTCTTAGGACCCCTTCAAAGATTTTTATGATATGGGATGTTAGTGCTATTGGTCGGGTAGTTCTTTGCTGTGCTTTACTGCCCCTTTGTGGAGTGGGGCTGTGTCTGTTGTTTTTAGAAAACTGGGGGACGACCCCGGGGCCATGCTCCCTCTCCATGGGATGGAAAAGGCTCGTGATAGGGGCTTCTTGCAGTTCTTGATGAACACAGAGTTCCATGAGTCTGGCCCTGGGGCAGAGTGCATGGGCCATGTCATTTATCGCCTGTTCGAAGTCATTTTTGGGGTCAGGATAACATCGGATAGTTTTTGTTAATCAAATTTTTTTGGCTCTCTCATAAAAAATTCATTTGATCTTCGACTCTCAGTTGGTTAGCGGCTTGCTAAAAACTGAGTCATACTGGGACTTGAGTAGCTCACTCATTCCTTTCTGTCATCTGTGTAGGACCCATCTTGTTTAAGTAGGGGCCCAATACTGGACGTTGTTCTCGATTTTGATTTGGCATAGGAGAAGAATACTTTGGGTTTCTTTCGATTTCATTTTGGCTTTTTGTTCTTCCCGCGATTCCTGACTCCTAAAAGGGTTCTTTTAGCTTAAATTCGATGCTTGGGTATTCTCTGACCAGTGTCTCCCTACGCATTTCGATATATTGGGCCTTTTTTAGCCGCTCTGTTATTCTTTTCCGTCGCCTGTAAGGAGGGCCCGTCTCTTTCTTTTTTAAATCTACCCCTCCTTTTTCTTAGGGGAAATAACCTTGTGCTACTTTCGAGTGCCCCAAATTTAAATCTGTTTAGGCATAAGTTGGGGTCTGTGTTGCTTAGTATTCCCCCAGCTTTATCGGTTAAAATTGGGTTTTTACTTGGTCCCACTTTAGTTTTTGTTTTGAAGTTGAATTTTTGGGAATGCTCCCTCTGACTGTCTCAATGTCGGTCTGGGGATCAACCGGGGATCGACCTGATCAACCAGGCTGTTCTGCTGGCTGCACAAAAAACCAACGTACGACCCACCCCCGGCGGGCGGGAACCCGTTTTTGGGTGCTTGTCCAGTCCCCTTTAAGATCCCAGGGTCTGTTGGTAATTCCCCCTTATGTATGCTGGGGCATTTGAACAGTCTCGGGCCCCCATTATTGTATGAGCTCTTAACGTGTATGACCCCCCTGCTTTTCTTTGGGGGGGATGTTGCATCGTCGCAGTCTTTTGCTTTCGTCTTCCATTGCAACACGAAAGGCTCCAGGGGACATAAACCAAATCTTTCAGTGGGGCAAAAAAATATGAATTAAACGATGAGAAATTTCAATTACTCAGATAGGGAAAACACGAGGAAATTAAATATTCATCAGGTACAAAAAAAAAATCTGGCCCACAAAAAAAGCGAAACACCAACGTAAAGACCGGGGAGTGATCATGCGGGGGTCTCACCTTCGAGGACCATAAATTGATCAATCGATCTGCTAAAAATGAAGGAGGGATAATGAAAACCTTCAAATAGGTCCCAACCCCATGATACACTTTTTTCAGGTACTTTTCTATCTAGGCGGGAATTTGCTGTACACAACAGCCCCTTTAAAGGCAGGTAAAATTGCTGCCCTAAAAAAGTACAGAAACCTTCACGGCGGCAAAACGGAGATAAAACCTCATTAGGGGACCCCTGGGGTTTCTAAAATTTTTCCCCTGGAATGCAGGCGGGAGAGATACATGATTTTTTTACACCGGAAAATCCAAAAGGGCTAGACCGAACTTGCAAACCCAAAATCACTCACTCGAAAGCAAAAGACTTGGCGCGATGCAACATCCCCCAATGAAAAAAGGGGGGGTTATAGCACGTTTTTGGGCCCCTACAATAAGTGTCAGGGGCCCGAGACTGTTCACTGCCCCCACAAAATAAGGGGGATTTCCAACAGACCCCCGGGAGTCTTCAAGCTGGCATGGGGCAAGCACCTAAATCGGTTCCTGACCAGCCTGGCTGTGGCTTGTAAGTTGGGTTTGCGTGCAGCACAGTAACAAACCTGGTTGATCAGGCTCTGATCCCCGGGGGCCGGTCCAGACCGGCCCCGGGGGCGTTGACCCCCGGAACTCGTCCCCCGTAAATCCAGGGAAACTACCCGGAGTTTTTCCTGGGCAGAGTTTCGGGGGTAACGCCCCCCAGCCGGGCTGGCCCGGCCTCCTGGTGGGTCAGAGCTGAGTGATTTTGTGGGCAAGTTCGGTACTAGTCCCTCTAGGATTTTCCAGGTGACTAATCATGTATCTCTCCCCCCTGGTTCCCCGGATACAGGTTAGGAACCTCAAGCGCTCCCCTAATTTAAATGTTTTACCCCCCTTATGCGCACCCGAAGGTTCTCTGTACATTTTTAGGTCAGCAATTTCACCTGCCTTGAAAGGTGTTGTTAGTGTGCAGCAATATTCCAGCCTAGTTAAAACAAGCGACCTGTAGAGTGTCATCATGGGCTTGGCATCCCTAGTTTTGAAGGTTCTCATTATCCATCCTGTCATTTTTCTAGCAGATGCGATTGATACAATGTTATGGTCCTTGAAGGTGAGATCCTCCGACATGATCACTCCTAGGTCTTTGACGTTGGTGTTTCGCTCTATTTTGTGGCCAGAATTTGTTTTGTACTCTGATGAAGATTTAATTTCCTCGTGTTTACCATATCTGAGTAATTGAAATTTCTCATCGTTGAACTTCATATTGTTTTCTGCAGCCCACTGAAAGATTTGGTTGATGTCCGCCTGGAGCCTTGCAGTGTCTGCAATGGAAGACACTGTCATGCAGATTCGGGTGTC